GATTTAATCGGACAACACTAAGCAACAAACATATGACAAGCCTGTTTTGACACAGTTTTAATCAGACATAAGTTAAAACGGACTTTTGACCATCTAATTTGGACACATTTGCAATCAAACAGTTTTAATCGGACACAATAAACAACGAAAACTTCTGACAGTGTGTACATTTGAGAAATAAATATTTTATCTGTATCATACTGTTGTATAAGGAATATTTTCGATTAGGTTATTAAAGTATCGTTTAAAATATAGATGTAGTTATATGCGGCGTTTCGTATATCAATATTTTTTATTAGTCTTTCTTGGCTCTGCTGAACTGACTAGGATCCGGTGCGGATGCCCGGTAAGCACATTGCGAACCGTCATAAGATAGCGTGTCCAAGGACGCGGAACGCGAGCGTAACAAGAACGACCGAAAAGATGCAATGATCAGCATTGCACTTTTCGGGTCCGGATGTCGCGTGTTCCTAATCAGCCAATCACTAGTGAGTTGGTTGAAAGATAAAAGACGACATTCGGGCGGGGCGAGTAGAATCGTTTTAACTCGCGTCGCCGCCGGAGATTCTGTTCGGCAGGGCGCCATTCGCCCTGAACTTGTTGTGAAGTCAACCAACAGCAATAAAATATTTATTGTTTTGTAAAGACAAGCCTTTTCAACTAAAGTAACTATACCAGTATCGGGACTAGTACTTATAACAGGACAAGTCTCTAAAATTTAATTATTATTAGATTAAATTTGTAAGATATTATAAGAAAAAAATACTTTTCACGTAATGTTTATACTTTGTAGAAATAATAAAAATAAGGATAGTATTTATCAAAACTGTAACTCATAAAAACATTTTTTTATTATGTATCTCAGTTAGAAATAAGCTAAATCGTATTTCTTAATGAAACGCTTAAGAAATCAGTTGTGTGATTAAGAAGTATATATTACAGTATATATTTAAATTTACGAAGTAATTGCTATTATTTGTTTTTATTTAATACATTCCTTAAGGATATAATAATATTAAAAATTGCTTAAATACCGTTTATTTGTTAAAAATCATGCGTCCTGTTATTAGTACACTTTAATATCAAAATGTCCCAGAAGCAGGACGACTTGTTCCGATTTCGGTCAACTATCTACACGAGACCGATAGCAAAACAAGTAAATGATTTGAAGTTTGAACACTTGATATTAACAATTTACACTACTTAAAAAAGGTAAGTATTTGTAATTTAATTTCTTGTAATAATAGTTTAAATAATAAATTCAAAACCTAAAAAATAAATATGTTATTTGAAGAAACTAAATCTTAACCTTCAAATTTTTTAACAAACATGTGCCTTTAATGTTTTGTTTATGTTATATTTATATTTTGTTTATACATTTTTTTTAAGTTTCTACCAAAGCTTAAGTAATTTATCCTTAAAAATACAAACTTATGACTAAATTATTAATATACAAATTTATATTTAATAATATAATTAATAATATAGATGTATATTTACTTAATATTAATAGAAAAAACTATAAAGAAATAATATGCAATGTTTCATTTTTTACAAAAATATGTTTTGATAATATATTTAGATATAAGTCTTAAAACATAATGTATTTTCACAATAAAAACATTTTCAAGGTATATCTTTTCTTCTTCATTTATTTATTAATTTTTATTTTTTGTAATATTTTCTTTTTTTACTTTAATTAAAGCAAAACCTTTATTCTTATCATTAGTAACAATTCTGTCCTGAAACTGGTACTTTCAAAATAGGACACTAGTACAACCGATTTTGGTTGTGCTGATACTGATACATTTGCTTAACCTTTTTTTGGTGAAAAGTTTTATTAAATAGTGATTAAAATTACTTTCTTAAAATTATTTTTATGAGATAATTGCCATATCTTTTAAGACAAATGATTGTTTTACAAATTTCTTTTACTACATTTAAGCAATTTTGAATTAATGGTTTAACCTTCCCTAAGCGTCCTAATACTAGTACACACACACACACACACACACACACACACACACACACAGTTACCTTATATAATACTTCAATTTCCCTGTTCTGACGGCGATCCTCGGTACCCACGGGATAACACTCTACTATCAAAAAATTAATGAAAAATATACGCGCAAAGAAGAAGCCTTTTTATTACTGTTACAAATAAAGTCTTATTATTCTCGCGGATCTCTTTAACGGCTCCCCTGCAAGATGAAATATATCATTGTATTCTTTGCATATCTGGAATAAAACTTTTCTTTCTTCTTTATTAAAATACTTTACTCGCAACGTCTTATTTTTTTACGACGCATTATTTTACTCGGTTCTACGCTTACACTTGTTACCTCACTTTTTATCTCGCTTTCTGCATCTACGTGTAATATGCAATTCTAAAAGAAAGACGCTTTTTTCTTCTGTAAGTTTGCGCGGTTTTTAATATCTATAATTTAAAATAATAACAGCGCACCTGCAAAATTCTAAAAGTTTATATTGTTACGTCCTGGGGACTCCACGGGCCCCTTTTTCTTGCAACGCGGCGCGTCAACGTAGAACAAATTTCCCTTTTAGTAAACAATAAAAAGCAATAAATAATCCGAGCAGACCTTCTATCGTTTGGAGACTTGGACTTCAGACGATAGAAGAGCAAACGGAAACCACATCGGCGCCCGAAAAGATAAATCGCGCCTAGCAATAACCCGAAATTTTACGATAACGAGCAAGAAAACTTATTGTTTAAACATCCTAAACAAACCCGGATATCTCCGGGCCAGGAAGAACACCGCTCATAAAAATTAGAGCAGTCGGAGCAAATAGAACTCCGACGCCACGAATAATCCACAAAACTTTATTATAAACAAATAGCAAAGGGTCTAGGTGGCATGATCGAAGACCAACACTCTCCCTTTTCCCTTCTCCGGAAAATCGGACGAGCCGACCGAGCCGAGAGATCGTCGCCGATTGGCGATCTCACGAAGTTTACCCGACCACTAACTAACAAATAGGAACTAGCGAAGCTCGACTGAGTTTTCCGATTGAGAGAGTCCGCTTACTCAAAATTGTATATAAGCCGAGACTCTCGGGATCGGAGTCAGATAGAGCCGCAAATTTTAGAAGTACTACAGCGAGTGAGTGAGTGACAGTGAGTGCAGAAAGTGAGATCCCAGAGTGAACTACCGTGCCGCAACGGCCCAGAACCTTTTATTAATCAACATCACTGGTCCGCAGCAAATAGTAAGTCCACATTGTAATTATTTTCATTTGGAGGTTCCACTGTTCGCGAGCTTAACTCCCGATTTCGCGACTAATTTTCGGAGAAACCGATAGAACAATTACTTGCTAACTGGAGACAAGTATCCAGATAAGCAAGCAACCAGAATAAACACGCTCCCAATCTTGTTTTTCGGAAGAGCTACTCGCGGTGCATAGCTGTTTCGAGTGGCATTTGAATTTTTCGAAAGAGCTACTCACGGTGCATAGCCGTCTCGGGTGGCGTTCGAATTATTTTTTTTCTTCCCTAAATCACGGAAACAAACAAAACCCGCTTATCTCCGAATATCAGTCGTAGAATCATGACACATTCAAATTTATTCCTATCATTAAATCTATCGGAACCTAAGAAATGAAACAAAACCGAATTTGTCAACTGACATAAGGAAATACATTTCTAAGATGATCTAAGTTGCGTAAACATGGGTTAAAGAGGCTGGCTGCACTAAACAACTCGTATTCCCCCTCTCTTTCACACTTGCACCCTAGCTTATAGATTACTTTGTACGAAACGATGATGCGCTCCGTTATTGTATTAGTTTCAACACACCTGTATGTTAGTAATTTGCTAAGATTTCGATTTGTCTTTTTTTTTTTATAAATATAACTTACTTTATAATGTGTGGAATCAAACTAAAGAGTTATTCTTTGTTATCCTTCTCTCCGTACAACCCACTCTCATTTCCTCGTTAAAATCGCTAGGTCCCGTCCTTGGTAAATGAGACTTGCGTCTCAGATCTAAGAAAGGACCAACGAGCGAGTGTTCGCTAGACAGAGTAAGATCGGCGTACGCCGTTGACCTGTCGACGAATATAAACAAATTCGCTCGACTCTCTCACAGCGGGACTTCCGTGTCCACTGTAAAGAGAGATATGGAAAACGATGCGTTTACTGTTGCGTTTCACCACAGCCCGACCGTATCCATGGGCCAAGACGTAACAATATAAAATGGCAAGAAAATAATATACTATACTTGTAACTATGACAAAATATTCTATATAATATTCTTACATAAGAAATTATTTAATATTAAAATAAATTAACATTAAAAAAATTTAATTTAATATTCTTATATAAAAAATAAGTTTGCCTTTTGGTTTTGTAAAGGAGCCGCTTTTCCTGCAACTTGTCCGGCCTTTTGTCTGCCGGACAGCTTGGTCGTACCAGGACTTAGGTGAGGAGAAGGAAAAGATTGCGACACGCTCGGGTTTAATTTAATATAAACTTGCTTGATATATTTAGTTTTTACTTATTATAAACGGTATTTATCTCACTCGACATATTTTACTCATTCGAAAGCCACGGAGTGTTACAAGTGTACGTACACGGTATCTTATTAACTCATACGGTATTACAAATTGAAACACAGTATTTTCAATCGATATTTTGCACGCAGAAATAAATTGTGATTGCACGTACATTCTAAAAAAGGGGTTAAATTGGGAGCGGGTACACGGTGGGGTAATTTATTTTATACCGCGGAGTGAACGCGAATACATACAACGACGGAGTAAGACTTGAGTGACACTGCTTGTTGGCGCGGTGCGTGCAAAATGCGGCCGGCAGGCCTGTAGGGGTATAGATTGAGTCAGCACCTCGCCCCCGGTACTGACTGAGTCATCGCTTCAGCCGGCGAAGAGAGGAAGAGACCGTAGATAGTAGAAAAAAATCAAGACGCTACGTTGAAAGATATTGTAATCGAGCTCGAATCTCACCTGAATATCTCAGCGAACATGAAAACTTTAGAAAATCCGTCTACTGTGCTTACTTCGACGTCTAACGCTGTTTGTGTCAAACCAAAAATCAGAAAACGTCAATCTTTAATTCATTCGAAGCAGAAGGAGGACGTGACAAATTTATCTAAACAACCGTCGTCTCTTAAGTGCAACGGATGCGGTGGTCCACACTTACGTTCAAAATGCTCTTTCCTTTGACGCCACATGTTATAAATGTTCTAAGATAGGTTATATCGCTAAAGTGTGTCGCTCGTTTGACCGTGTTGATCATTTGACTACCGAAAACTCGATTAGGACAATTTGGATAAGCTTCAGATTCAGTCGAGTACTTCGGGTAACAAACATCGATGAGTCTACATTTTTGCTTCATTACTTGGTAAAATTGTTCAAGTTCAGTATGACAGCTGTTCGGATGTCACAATTATCGGCAAAGACACATGGCTATGTCTTGGAAGTCCGACTTCACGAGCTAGCAAAACTATAGAACATGCTGGCGGCAACTCGTTGAAGACCAGTGGATGTTTCTCGGGCAAGTTACGCGCTGCCGGTCACAAGGGCATTGTAACTTTTGATGTTGTTTCACGTGACGGCCTTAATCTGTTCGACCTAAACGCCATCGACAAACTTGATCTCTGGTCCATGTCTTTTGGAAGATGTCGCGAACTGCTTACAGACGAGATAGAACAATGTTCGACCTTCAAAGCCAACAAGCTTGCTTCATCCGGTGAATCTCTTACTTTGTCCATTTCTCTCAAAAAATTTCTTTCGCTGTTGCCCGTTTTCCGAAGCTTTTTTCCGCTGGTTTTGGACGGTGCAAAGATTTCCAAGCAAAATTCATTCTGATGGAGAATTCTCCCTGTTCAATCTTTTTGTCGTCAGATTCCTTACGCCATGGAAAAACCTTTCAAGGAAGAGTTTCTGCGTCTCGAGTCTCTCAACATAATCAAACGTGTCCACCTGTCAAATTGGAGTACACCGATTGTCATCGTCAAGAAACCTGATGGAAAGATCCGTTTGTGTGCAGACTATTCCACGAGAGTTAATCGAGCCCTATGCGATAACACGTATCCTCTCCCAAACGTCGATTACATATTAACCAAACTAAGCGGAAATAAGTGCATTAGTGTCTTAGACCTTAGTGAAGCTTTTTTACAAATCGAAGTCGCTGAGGACCAACGTGATATCACTACTATTACAACCCCGAAAGGTTTCTTTAGATTTAGACGTCTCCCGTTTGGCATTAAAACAGCTCCAGCCATCTTCCAGCAAGCTATGAATTTTACTCCCTCTGGTTTAGAAGGTGTCTATGCTTATATCGACGATGTTATTGTGGCAGGTTTTACCCGTCAAGAACACGATTTTTGTCTTCTTTTAACCTTTAAACGTCTTGAAGAAAAAGGATGGAAGTTGAGACTTGACAAATGCCGATTTGCTCTTCAAGAAATAAAATATCTTGGTCTTATTGTCAACGGTTCCGGCGTCTCTGCTGACCCCAAGGCAACTCATGCAATCGCGAACATGCCCTATCCGACCTGCGTCTCAGAAGTTCAGACTCTTCTGAGAATGATAAACCATCATGATAAGTTTATTCCTCATCTTCATTAAATTAAAAAACCTCTTGAGAATTTTACAAGGAAGAACCAACCTTGGATTTGAAACTCACAGCATGCCTCGGCAATTCAACGCATCAAAGAAATCTCTCTCAGTCTTCTGCTTTTAGATCACTTTGATCCCGCGAAGACACTTACCGTTGCAGCAGATGCTTGCTCTTCTGGTATCGGTAGTGTATTGCTTCAGCGAGATTCTAACGGACGTGAACGCGCCGTGTATCACATGTCTCAAAGCCTCACCGATTCTCAACGCAACTATTTCCAACTGGAAAAAGAGGCTCTTGATCTTATTACTGCTGTGGAACATTTCTATAAGTTTCTGTGAGTCAAAAAGTTTATTTTGCAGACCGACCATAAATCTCTTGTTGCACTCTTTCAAACTGATAACACCAAAGGTTTAAAACCGACAACAACTGCACGCCTGAAGCGATGGGCCATAAGGCTTTTAGGTTATAACTTCAATATTGAATACGTCCGTACACAAGATTTCGGTCAAGCTGACGCCTTATCTCGGCTCATACAGAAATTCCGTCAAGACAACCTTGAAGAACTTCAAGTCTCCTGCATCCGCTTGGTGGAAAACGAAATTCATCTAATCAGAGATTTCTCTATTGACAAATTCGGAAAGGACCTTCGTTTAAAACTTAAATCTGCCACTCTTGCAGATCCAGATCTCTCAGCTGGTATAGAGGCTATTAGGATTGGTAAAACTCCCTCTTCTGACTCTCCAGTAGTGAAACTCTACTCGAAACGTCTTGATCACTTATCCATCATCGACGATACACTTCTCCTTAGAGACAGAATTGTCATACCACAGAGCATGCAATCCAGCATTCTGACTTTGCTTCACAATGGTCATCCTGGCATCAGAAGAATGAAGCAGCTCGCTCGCAAATATGTCTACTGGCCAAAACTTTCTGAGGACATCGAGCGTCTTGTAAAGCAATGTAACTCCTGCGCTCTGACTCGGAAACTACCCGTGAAAGTACCTATTAGTTCTTGGCCGGTTCCCTCAAGGCCTCTTGAACGTCTTCATCTAGTCTATGCGGGTCCGATTGACGGGCAATATCTTTTAATATTTGTCGACGACTTCTTAAAATTTATCGACGTTGCGATAACTTCCACAATTTTGGCCTCTGGCACAGTCGAACTTTGTCGCGAAGTATTCTCTAGACATGGACCTCTCGAAATTCTTGTTACAGATCATGGAACACAATTCACCGCAGATATTTTCTCCAACTTCTGCAAAGACATGCATGTCACTTACATTTTGTCTGCCGTCAATCATCCTCAATCAAACGGTCAAGCAGAAAGAATGGTCGACACTGTTAAAAGAGTCATCGCAAAAAATCCGATTAACTGGAAGAAAAAACTCCAAGATTTTCCGTACAGCTACAGATATACCCCTAACAGCTTAGTTCCAGAAGACAAATCCCCAGCCGAAATATTTTTTGGTAGACGCATTGTTTCTCCTTTCTCCAAGTTGTTCCCAATTCTTTCAAAAACACTCCGGTTTCGAAAGATACCTTTTACAAACAACGAGATATGCTACAACAATTTTCAAATCATCATGGTGCACGTCAGAGAACTCTCCAACCCGAAGATCGTGTCGTCGTAGCCTTTCAGAACAAACGCGAACTAGGCTACGTCAAAAAAATCTTATCTATTTCTCGCTATCTTGTCTTTTTAGACAACGGCAAAACGATCGAGCGCCATATCAACCACGTTTGGAAAGGGGGAAGTATTCCGGCGACTCCTGCTTCCGCAAGTTTGCAGGCGTCTCCTGCCTCCACAATTTCGGATGACTGGATCTTCTGAATGCAACCCAGAACGGAACTCAAACGAGCCTCGACCCTCTTCCCTCAATCCAACGTACGGTGAGTAAGAAAACCAATCAGAGGCAGGCCTTCCTGAATCCGTACCCGAACCCGTACTTGTTCTCGAACCCGTTCCAGAACCAGAAGTCGACGAAACCCCGGTCAGACCTGTCCGCCAAAGAATCCTTCCTCGAAGATTGATTCTAGATCCGAGAGCCAAGTCCGGTAAATATGCCGAATAAGGGAGCAGCTTTCTACAGCCCTGAGTTTGACATATGTTGTCAGGTCATTGCCCTGAGTGACTTTCTGAAGGTTTCATGTAATGCTCTCTGTTTGTTAAGTAGTTGTTAACAAAAATGTGTGAAACGGTTTATTGCAATTATCTCGGCAAGTAATCACGTTAGGAAAAAATTGTATAAACAAAAAATGTAGGAAATTTGATGTTCTATAAAAAAGGTTATTATGTTCATTTACCTAACTTCAACCGTTTTCATGTTAAAACGCAAAAAAACTAAAATTGTGGAAATTTTTCGAGGGGGAATGCAGAAAAAAGAAGTTAGGTTAGGGTTAGGTTAGGTTTTTAAGGGGGGGTGCAGGGGGGGCACAGCCCCCCCCTGCCTACAACTTATTACATCAACATGTATCTTGTTTTTTGTACGCAGTAAACAATTTGTATAACTTTGAACTTGACATATTATATCAACATACATCTTTGTTTTCATGTTGTTGTCGACTATCGTGTGCGGCTTAGTCCGTGTTAGTCAGTAGTTTAGTTAACTTCAACGTGTTAAAGCATATCTGTTTAACATGCATTTCCATGAGTTTCTTCATCTTACACACGAATGGGACCGCTTGTGGGATTTCTTGTGCGAGAAAAAAGTTGTACGCAGTGAAGTAATATGTCCACGATGTCAACATTCACTGCGTTTAGCTAGTAGTGCTGACAATCACATATTTCACTGCAGAAATTCATATTATAAATTGAAAAATCGCAAACGGCATCGAACCGTATGCAATTTTAAAATCAGCGCGTTACATGGAACGTGGTTCGAAAAAGCACATTTAAGTTTAGCAAAGATTTGCTAATTTATTGCATATTTTTTGATGATGCCACCACCACGACAAGCATTTCTAATAAATGAATTAGAAATAAATGATCATACTGTCGTCGATTGGACAAATTTTTGTCGAGAGGTGAGAAACCTGTTAAAATAAAATGTTTCGTAAATTTGCTTATTAAGAGCGATCTAAGT